ATTATACAAATCCTTTAGGCTAAAACTTGTTTAGGTCTGGCATATTGTAAATTATATTTTAGTAATGAAAGTGAAATGACCTCTGTCTGACCTGAGGCTGGGTTCGTCTGTTTGAACCAACAGAGTGGAAAACTATGAAAGAAAATGAAGTCATAAAGTTTTGGCAGGAAGGGCTCATTTCAAGTTAAGCGGTTATAAATCTGCTTAGTTTTTGTTTGACAAGTATTTGTCATACATCGGTGTACGAAATGTAAAGAAGTGTAAAATACACAGGAGGCAGCACGCCAAAGTAAACCGAGTACAAAGGGAGAGCGGTAAGAGCGAAGCCCACCGCCTCTATCTCTTTATCGGCTCCTTCCCTTAGGTGAATGACAAGACGAGCTTAGTTTATTATATTTTTGAAGGCAATTAAAAGCCCTTAAAACTGAAACAGGTTTTTGGATGAAATGCTAACGTTTTTATTTGGATGAGCAAACACACATCCACCTCAGTTGGAGCTTGAAGCCTAAGCGTGCTTTTACCCAAAGTTGACATTAATACTGGATACAGTATTTAAAAATAGGATTCTACTTCCTTTCTTTTAAATTTTTGTTTGAAAGGCAATCACAACATTTGAGACAGGGAGAGCTGGGTTTCCCACTGGGAAAAGCCAGAATTAGCATAAAGAAGATGGAAAGCTTTTTGCAGCATATGACTTTGAACATAAAAAGAAAACAGCGCGGTCTGTATTTGCAGACGTTTCTGGGCAAGTTGCTTTCCTACGCTGTGTGCGTAAGGCATCAGCGCGTCAGCAGTCTAGGTGGAAATTGTGACCTCATTAACACGATGCTGACATTCCCGTTATCTTCAGTTTAGCCAGGACTGTACCCAAATACCTAGTAGAATGGGGGACCAAGAAACAAACCCAAATTTAACAAAATATTCCATGGAGGTTGGATGCAAGATGTAGTTTTGACACTTGCCTAATTAAACGCTCTTTGTGCTATTACCAATAGTTGGATGTGCAGCTACTCTAAGCTGTATGTGAAAGCTGAAATCAAGAACTCGAAAGGAAAATCAAGGTATATTCACTGGGCCAGCGTGCGTGAGACCGAGGAATTAAAATACGACAATAGACCCAACTCTGTCTGACCACCTGGCACAACAGTCACGCTTGCGGCATCACGGGCCCGGAACGCTGTTTAAACCAGGAATCCTAGTGTTAGCATTACGCCGTGTAAAAACATCTCTGTATGCAGCCTGTCTTACTCACGGGCAAAAGCAGCACTGCATTTTCCAGCACAGCCGCACGGCGGGTTTACTTCTATCGCCGACTTAAAAGGAGTCTCCTGCACTTTCTGTGAGCTGGAATTTTCCTCTGCAATAACTTTCTGTGTCTGTCCCTGCCACGGTGAGACTGCAAGTGGTGCCTGGGTGGCACGGCTCCATCCATCCCTGCCCCTTGTAGCATTCTCCCTGCATCATTTTCCCTAGGCTGCCACAATTAACTCTTTATGACCTAATTCTATAAACTTGATATTTAAGAGAAAGCAATAGCGGCATCCCATGGCTGCTTTGTTGAACTTAAGAAGGAAACTAGACCAGAATTTATTCAGAGATGGAGTGCAGAGGTCCTGAAGTACAAGTGTAACCTTTCCTGATGCCGAGGGATTAGCTCTGCCGACAGAACACCTACGGCAGCAATATTTGAAGGTTAGAATTCACATTGCTGAAACTCACTAAAATCCAAATTTGGAATCATTTTGCCATGTCATTTTCTGAGAAAAATAACAGCTTACTCAAAGGCACCTCTGACTGTTTCAGGTCCTCAGTCTACACAGTTTCTATTCTAATGACTTGTAGATATTGATTTTAATTCTGAAATGCTTCAAAAGAACCATCTCTGTCAAGCCGTGGCATGGGGTGACAAACAAGGCCGATACTCTTTGCAGGGCAGCATTCTGCCCGTAGGTGGCAGAAGGCAGTTACAGCCCCGAAATGGGGGATACATACAGGTTTGCAAATTAAAAAAGAAGGAGCTCTAGGTTAGTCACACTTAAATCTTAAATGATTTTTATAAATGCTTCATGAACCTGGGACTACAGTGAAGCAAAACAATACCAGCAACAAGAGCCGCAATGCATCAGCTGTGCTGGCCAGAACTGCAGGCAGATTTTTGAGGCTCTGTTTCGGTAATTTCTCTTTTTAACTGAGAGAATGGCCAAGCCTGAAAAAACACAGAACAAATCTTTCCAAAGTGATTTCAGCGGAGTGAAAGATGACGTATGACTAGAGCAGACCCGTGAAAAAACTCTCTTGAGAAAATGCTGAATCGCATCTTTATCTGCACTACTTTCTACCTTAAATGAGGTAGTTTAGAGATGCTTCAGTAATGGGTTGCTTTATTATAAAAAAAGTCCTCCAGCTCCTATTTATCCAGCTACATGACACATGGCATTACCTCCACAGGTCCAGCACACTTGCTACGCTGCTGCTGAGAAAAGCCCTTACAAAAATCACAGCTAAAGGCACCAGCAGAAACTGCAAGTTGGAAATCAGCTTAATATTTCAGCGCTGAGTTGATCGAAGCATTTCACTCTGCCTTTACAGACAGCGAATGTCGAAGCAGAAATGAGGGATTACCTTTGGTTTATAGGCGTTGAGCATCGACATCTCCACATTCTGCCCTCTTACGTGCTTCGGCTGTCTTTGCACGGGAGGGGAGGAAGACTTCTGATTGTTGCGACAGATGCAGATGAAGAAGAAGAGCAAGGCTATGGCCAGGGGAATAGTAACACTTGGCACCAGGATATACAGGATTTCCATTTTATTCTTTTCCTTGGAATCCTTATAATCTGGTTCAGAAAAAAAAACAAACACCAAAACAATGAAGTATCCCACAGAGTCAAATACATCCCTGGGTCAGCTAGAAGTGTTAAGAAGAATAAAACATCCAGGTAATACTACTGCAATTCACCTTGAATGCTGTTTTATTTCCTTAATATTAACAGAGCAACTAATTTGGTTGTGTAAGATTTCTGTAAGAACACGAAACGGCCAGGAACAATTTCCCTGCAGCGTGTCAGTTCAAACCTACTTATGGTTGTGAAATAGCTGAATCCTGTGAGGTGGCAATTGCTTGGGGTGAAATGAAGTAATGGTCTAATGCAGGAAAGTTAATTCCTAAAATAGCTTATGGAAAAAAGGCTCTGGCGGGATTACAGACTCCTTATTTTAAGATGTACATCAGGTTTTCTGCCATAGTTCTCTTAATCCAAGAAAAACGTGGGGAGTTTTATCCACTTAGTTATTTCCAGTCTCCTGTTCTCAACATCTCCCCTAGCACTGGGCAAAGCATTTGTGTGGCCACCCAGGGCACTGGAACAACCAACACGTGCAACTCAAAACTTATTTTCTACTTAGTTTTAGGTGCAGACGCAGGACGATTAGGGACTCTAGAGCAGAAGAAATGGAGAAGACTTGGGAAACGGGAGGAAATGCACGGAAATGGCAAGAAATAGAGAAAACGGTCCTGGCTTTTACCCCAGGAAGTCAGAAACGGGGTTGAAAAAGTCTGAACACAGACAAAAGCTGCAGCATAACCTTAAAACGAAAAATCTTACCTACTGAGGACTTGGTCCCAATGGGATTAATGGGCAAGTGGGAAACCCCACCCCTCTACCAACTACACACTAATAGCATGGCATCGGAGCAGGGTGGCAAACGCTGGCACAAAGGACGCAGCCAAGAGAGCTGGAAGGAAAGCTGGAGCAGGGGTAAAAAAAGAAGGATCCCAAGGAGGCTGGGAAGCCGCTTTATTTAACACAGTGCGAATGCGAGCTGCAATACTCACTCCCTCTGCACATCGTTCTCTTCACGGCTATGGAGCGAGGGATTAATTTTAGGAACATGAAACCTTCTTCGGCCAGTTCCGAGCTAGGCACAGCCGGGACATCAGCTGTCCACCTCCGTCCAGCTGGCTCTGGTTTCACAGACACCGTGCTTAGAGCAAAGGTGCGATGGGAGAGGAGAGAGGGGCTGCGGGAAGGAGCTCACGTCCTCGCGTTCACGCAGCACCCACTTGCGTTGACAGGGACACAGCTTCCAGCTGGACTGCTCTGGGCACGGGGACGCTGGAGCCTGCTTTGCTCTCGCATTTCCCAGGAGCATTCATAAAGTTTAGGGTGTAATTACGCACGGATTAACACACGAACTATAGGGCACTCCGGGAATTTTGAAGATCACCTCGAGCTGCAGGACTGGTGGCCATAGCCTGGGTGTTTCCAAGGGAGATGGCGAGTGTCTGCGGCAGCATCGGGCTTAGCGGATTCTGGCAGAACAGGGAGCGTTTTATTATTCCTACAGGGTCATTTCAGTTTGTTTGTCTGTGTTTTCCAGGCTGGATTTGTAGAAGTGCTTAGCAGCCCACACAGATATCTTTTATGCACTTAATTAAACATGAACTTGATCTGAAGCTTGGGTTTGACTCAAATTGTGACAGAGGCAAAGTTCAAATGGTTCTAGATGTCACTTTGCATAACCCCTCTCCTCTTACAGGCTCGCGCTGTCCCTCTGATCC